AAAAGATTAATAGATATTCCTATTTTAATTAAGCAATCTCTCTCGAGCAATGCCAAACCTATCCCAATATATGATTCGACTATATTTCTATGACGAATACTAATATACCGACGTGCATTATAATTCACAAATATCCAATGATTCACACAAGGTATAGAGGTATATTTCTATTCTCTATCGATCCCTATGACGATTTATACTATGTCGAACCTATTTTTCTTCTCTCGAATGCATAAAACAGGTCACCACATTCATATAATCACGTGTACAATAATTATATGAAAATAAAAACGAAATAAATCAATCAATTTCGAAATTGGTGTTTACATACGTCAAAAATCCAAAACAACAATTAAACGTGGTATTACAAGGTTCATCGATCTCCTAGTAGTAATAAATTTAGCCTAACATACTAAAAAGAACAAAACTCAAAAGTATTTGAAGAAACGACATCACCCGAATCAATATTTACTCCGATCTTCAATTGGCGTGATGTTTATCTCTTGTTTTCTCCCTTGTTTCTTCTTCAAAATCTCCCAAAAATATGTAAAAATGGTGTCCCATTCGTTCTGGTCGAGTTTTTGTATTTATAGGACCCTAAAATTTTGTTTCCATAAGAGTTTCGGAAGAAAAAGGAAACCAAAATTTTTTCAGATTTTTGTTCTATGCGACCGCATAGAGTAATTCTATGCGGTCGCATAGAAGGAATTTTTCAAGCCTTTTTTGTTTCAGTATGGTACTATGTGACCGCATAGATGATAATACTATGCGGTCGCATAGTACTATCAACTATGGAGAAATTGCATTTTGGTCCTCCAACTTGCATCATTCACTTCTTAGCATCTTCTCTTCATTCTTTTCATTTCATCACCCCACGATATCGTTAATTTTGTAATTGGCCTAATTGATTTCTCGATTTGTTCATCGGATCAACTTCTGAATATTTGCACTTTTGGTCCCTGAACTTTCACTTTACGTCACTTTAGTCCTTTTTTGATTTTTCTCCTAAATTTTACCATGTTCATTGTTGTTTCCTACAATTCACAATTGTATAAGATTAAGTCACAATTAAATCATTTTGCTCATAGTTAAGTCATGTTTGTGACCTACATAAGTGTGTAAAAACACACTTATCAAACCTCCCAAACTTGAACTATTGTTTGTCCTCAAATAAGATTGTGACTTAATTATGAACAAACATGGCTTAATATCTTGTTGTGGCTCAGGATTGGACTGAGTATTTAAAAATTGATCTGTGCAAACATGACATCAACCTTTACCTGTTTAATGCAAATTGACGTGTGTGTGTGTGTGTGAATTTATGCTAACATATCAGATTTATGATGAGTCTGAGTCCCGATCCCAAGTGGTCAAATATATCCTTACTCACTCGAGAGATACACAACCCCCCAAACTTAGTCTTTTCACTCAATTATCCCAGGGTTGTGTTTTAAGATTAGGAATTTATGTAGTTGTAGTCATCACCCTCTCGTAGTTCAGATTTAGCATTACTATCACAAATCTACGTTTCAAAAAGAGAAGGCTCTCCTAGATTAATTGCTTTAACACTCAAGATCAAACTAGATTACTTGTCTCGCCTCAGAGGTACAGTCTCTTCAACCAAATGTCTAAGGGCTTTTCGTCATGTTTTGTCCCCTTTTTTTTTCTTTTTAATTTCTGATTGATTTTCATCTTCTCATTTGCTTTCTTTATAATCCCGGTAACGAGCTTTGGGCTGCTGACTCCCAAACCAGTTGGTTTTAGGGCACCAGATTTTGAAATATCCTTACAGGCTTATTCACTCGAGTTATAAAGGCTCGATAAGATGACTTTTTATTAACCTCTTTCGCTCTTGCTTTCTATATGACCCTTTTAGCGAGCTTTAGGCCGGTGACTCCCAAGCCAGTTGACCTTAGGGCACCAAATTTTGAAATATCCTTACAGGCTTACTTGCTTGAGTCATAAAGGCATGAAAAGAAATGTCTTATTCTCACAAATTTATTTTATGCCCTTATTGTTCTAGACATTTAGTTTCCAAAACCAACCCCTAATTTAAGATTTTCACCTAATCTTTACCCCACTGGTCTAGGCAATCCACACAATAAATTTCATGCACGGAGCCTCCACTCATCTCAATGTTTTCCTATAATAGCTCAACTATCACCAAATTATCTTTAGGTAGTTTATGGGTTAATTCAATAGAGAGTTATCATTCTTTTTCTACTTTATACTCAAAATCCATTCATTCACCTAACATGTCAAGCATGAATAGCGTGCATAGATAATGTCAAGTGTTGCATCAACAAGTATCAGTTAATCTAATTAACACCAGATCCAAAATTTTGCAGTTTAAAATAGTCCAACAATAACATCATAGCGAACGAGGTTATTAAACCCACACAAGCATGCATGAAGAGAATTAATACAAACTGAATAGAATGCAAAGTTTTTTTTTCTCTTTTTTTTCACTCATCATGCATACATTAATAAAAAAAAGATAATGATGAACACAGATAAAGATGTGAAATAAATTATGTCACCCTCACCAAACTTAGTTAATACATTGTCCTCAATGTAAGATTAACAAAAGATTAATAACATAATTTTTAAGGACAAAATGAAGATGAAGAATCAAAATGGGATAAACAATACTCCCCTGATCAAAACGGTGGCTGGGATGGAAAGCTGGGTCCGGCATCATCATCGCCAGGAGGAGAGGGAAGGCGAGACAAGATCTCTCTCAACATGGCAGATTGCTGGGTCTGCTCCATCTGCATGGTCTGAACCCTCGTCTCCAAATTCCTTAGATGGTCCCAAGGCTCGTTCACCCGCCACTGTATACCGTCCATCCGGCTAACGTACATGCCCAGAGGCCCATCAAAGGTACTCATCTGTCGACGTGCAGCGATGGATTCACTACTGGCAGTGGATGCGAAGTTTTGTGCAGATGTCATATCTGTCTGCATCTGGTGAATTGTGGTAATCAGTGTCCCAAAGGATTGCTGAAGCTACTGTATGTCCCAATCGTGTCCAGTCATAGTAGCAAACATCTACCGCAATAACTGGGTGTCCACGTCAACTAGTGGTGGCGGAGCCTGTGGCATCTCAAAGTCCGCAGCTGCTTGTCCCTCTGCAGCCTGTTGCTGTCATCGGCACTCGTTTTTCAATTTCTGCTGATGTTTAATCCTGGCGCAGTCCTGGGCCTCGAGTGTGAGGTGTTTGATAAAAGGACTTGGTTTCTCCGATGCCTTCCCTGGCTGAACTTGTTTGCCAGCTTCTCTACAAATTCCACTTATCAGGCTCGGGAATATCAGTGATGTGTGCCTATCATCCCATGCACCTATAACATGTATCTGATTGTATATATAGGTGGCCAAGTCAATTTTGTTCCCCCGAACTAAGTGGTAAATAAAGCCTGCCTTCTGATCGGTAAATGTCATCCGATGGGAGATCGGCTCGATGTTGTGGCAGATGAATAACCAAAGGATGGCGATAGATGGAGTGAGGTCTATCTGATACCAATCAGCAGTAGGGAGCGACCAAGCATTTTCCCATCCCAATAAAACTTCGGCCACTTCAACCTAGTTGAAATCATGCGTGACTGGGACTACATTTGCCTAAGTGAGATGATAGTAGTCATGTATTACCTCAGGTGAAAACATGATCCATTTGCCCCGAACCTAAGTCTGATGCAAATGGTCAGATCCCGGTGTGTCTATTTCAACATTGAAATTTGCATAGAATTCCCGTACCAAGTTTTCATAGACGGGTATGGTCTTTCAATCACCTTCTCCCACCCGCATTTGTGGACTAGATAAACCAGTTCAAAACTTGGGAAATCATCCAATTTAACTGGTCTTTCGGGGATAAGTGCCCATTCCCGGATAACATTGGCATAGCGGGCTGCTTAATCGGAAGAAAGAAAACACCGGGCTCCCCCTTCGGGTTCCCTAATCCGGGCTATGCCAGATGTGGAACCAACTTTCTCCTTTCCCTTTGATGTACGCTTTGGGGACATCCTGCAAAGTTAAAGATACAGTAGTCAGTAAATTGCAGTAATGAAAACAATAGGGAGAATGAGGTATGCGACACAAATAGTTTACAAACCCCCCAAACTTGCTTCAACAAGCATATAGAATACCATGTGTGCACATATCAAAATATAACAAAGAGGGATGTGTAAAGAGAATGTTGAGGTGAAAAATTGGAAAGTTAGGCCAAAACAAACACATGTAAAAAAAATCATATCCATGACCGAGTGCGCATGTTCGGCCCTAAACATCATCGAGAAAACTTGAAGTTCCCTCAAGCAAGCTTCGGGCATATGAGAGTATTCAATGAGATCTACCACATATTCAAATTTCAAAGCAAATGGACTTCGTTTGGTATGCCAATTAATGGTGGAAAGTATGGGACGTAAGGTGCCGTGACATGCCATGTGTTTATGCGTTGCAAGGTAGAAGTGATGTGATACATAGTCGTTCAAGTGGTTGTAAATGTAGTAACAAGCAAATGTCAAGAAAACATGCTCAAGAATGTCCAAGGAAAGCAAAGTAACAAGTTACACACAAACATAGGTCCAAACAACCAAAATGAATCAAGTAACTCGATGATTAAGTGTGCACGTTCGCCCCCGGATATCATCGAGAAAACTAGAAGTTATCCCTAGCAACCTCTGGGCATATGAAAGTATGTAGTGCGAAGTGGCACATATTCAAATTTCAAGCTCATTGGACGTCGTATAGGTACTGAAAGCCAGGGACAAAGTGGGTGCAATGAGGTGATGTGAACCTAACACGTGTGCCTTAATGTGTGAGTGGTTAGTGCGTGAGTGTTTCGAGCTCAATTTTGATGGTAATTGATCGCAATGTGCATGTTAGGGTACGTATTTGGAATAACAATTGCGAGATATCACATAATGCACCACAAGGCTCGACTAGGCATTTTATCGAACATGTAACATACATGCATTGGAAAGTTACAAAATACCTAAAATGTGATGTGCCACCAATCCAATACATAAACCAAGTTCAACATTCACAAATTCAACGACTAACTAATGCCCATTTCCCACAAGCAAGTTCAAAGAGTAAAGTTACATGACGAATCAAAGTAGAAGAAAATTGTATTGAGGGAAAAAGGAAAACGAACTCACCTTGAAGTCACAATGGAGGCATTGAGTGTCGATTTATCGAGGTGATGATGGGGAGTGGAGTGAAGTAAGGGAGTGGTTCGTGTGGGACTGTGGTGTGGGATTGTAGAGTGTGTGAGGCAAGAGAGGGGAGAATGGGAGATGGAATGTCTCGATCATGGTTTAAAACCATGGCAGAGATCTACTATGCGGCCGCATAGTACTAACCTATGCGTTCGCATAGTAATAAGAATTTCCCCAACTTTGTTTTCAGTAACTATCTATGCGGTCGTATAGACATTATTTTTTTTTATCTAGAAATGCATGAATCATATTCTCAAGCACCCCCAAAACCATTTCAAACTAACCGACCAATGTGGGTAATGCCCAGAAAATTATGGAGATGATAATTCGATCCTATTAAAATGCATGTACGACCGATGACCTAGAAAAATGTAAATGCGAAAATAAAATAATGTGAAAAGTAAGCAAATAAAAGGATACAGTGGGTTGCCTCCCACCCAACGCTAGATTATAGTCGATAGCTCAACTTTACCGTGTTGCTTCATTCTGGTGGTTTAAGATGGACGGTAGAATTTTCTTTTGAAAAATTGCCGCCCCAACAGTGCTTCAGACACTGACCATTGACCTTTAATGTCCCCTTGCTATCGTGAGTGATCTCAATTGCCCCGTGTGGAAAAATCTGTGTAATAGTATACGGACCAGACCACCTCGATCGCAGTTTTCCTGGAAACAGCTTAAACCTAGAGTTATAGAGTAGCACTTTCTGCCCCCACCATAAATTCACGCCTCTGAATGTGCATATCATGCCATTTCTTGGTGCGCTCTTTGTAGATTCTTGAATTCTCGTAGGCTTCCATTCTGAGCTCATCCAGCTCATTAAGTTGTAAGAGACGTTTTTCACCTGCAGCCTTCAAATCCAAATTCAATTTCTTCATTGCCCAGTAAGTGTGATGTTCTATCTCAAGAGGTAAGTGGCATGCTCTCCCGAAAATCAGTCGATATGGTGACATTCCTATAGGAGTCTTGAATGCAGTCCTATAGGCCCACAAGGCGTCGTCTAATTTCTTAGACCAATCCTTTCGTGATGAACTTATCGTGACTTCGAGTATTCGCTTTAATTGTCTATTGGACACTTTGACCTGTCCACTGGTTTGGGGACGGTATGCAGTGGCTACACGATGTTTAACGTCATATTTAGCCAACAATTGTTCGAACTAACGATTGCAGAAGTGTTTGCCCCCGTCACTGATAATAGCCCTCGTGTTTCAAAGCAGGTAAAAATATGTTTCTTCACCGATAATAGCCCTCGGTGTTTCAAAGCGGGTAAAAATATGTTTCTTTAGAAACTCAATCACCACGTTCCCATCATTGGTAGGTAGTGCAACGACCTCTACCCACTTTGATACGTAGTCCATAGCCACTAATATGTATTGATTAGAGAAGGATGGGGAAAATGGCCCCATGAAGTCAATCCCCCCAAATGTCGAATAGTTCCACCTCCAGGATACTATTCAGGCATTTCATTTCTCCTAGATATATTTCTGGTGCGTTGACATCGGTCACACCTTTTCACAAATTCAAAAGCATCTTTAAATAGTGTAGGCCAATAAAAACCTGATTGAAGGATCTTCGCTGCTGTTTTTGAAGCACCAAAATACCCTGCATATGTAGATGAATGACAATGTTCTAATATCAAAGACACTTCTTCCTCAGGTACGCAGCAACGAACAATTTGATCTGTACCCTGCCTGTATAGGATGGGATCCTCCCAGAAATAATATTTCAATTCAGAGAAAAATTTCTTCTTTTGGTGACTGGAGTAATCAGGTGGCATGATAGATCTGGCTAAGTAGTTAATAATGTCTGCATACCAGGTGCTGCTTCCAAACCAAAAATCTGTTCATCTGGGAAGACTTCGTTGATTTCCACTGTTTCTGTCTGTTATGTGGCCTCGAGTCGAGAAAAGTGGTCTGCCACTACATTTTCACTGCCTTTCTTATCCCTGATTTTCAAGTCAAACTCTTGAAGCAACAGTATCCAACGAATGAGAGGGGGCTTTGCATCCTTCTTTTCCATTAAGTACTTGATAGCAGTGTGATATGTGTAAACGATGACCTTTGATCCCACGAGATATGATCGAAATTTGTCAAAGGCGTAAACTACGGCAAGGAGCTCTTTTCTGTAGTGGCATAATTGAGTTGAGCCTTGTTTAAGGTCTCACTTGCATAGTAAATCACGTGAAATATCTTATTTCTTCGTTGTCCTAAGACAGCCCCAATGGCATAATCACTGGCGTCGCACATTAATTCAAATGGCAGATTCCAATCTGGCATAATGATCACGAGTGCAGAAATCAACTTCTCTTTCAAAGTGTTAAAAGCAAGCAGACACTCGTCTATGAACTCAAAAGTAGACCCCTTCATCAACGGACAGCACAACGGTTTAGTAATCTTTGAGAAATCCTTGATGAACCTTCTGTAGAAATCGACATGCTCGAGAAAACTACGAACACCTTTCACGGATGTAGGTGGCGATAATTTCTCGATCACCTGAATCTTTGCTCTGTCCACTTCAATACCCTTTTCTGAGATTCTGTGTCCTAGCACGATGCCTTCCTGTACCATAAAGTGGCATTTCTCCCAATTCAATACCAAGTTAGTTTCCGTACACCGCTATAGCACAAGACTCAAATGCTCCAAGCACTCATCAAATGAAGACCCGAATACTGAGAAATCATCCATGAAGACCTCGATGAATTTTTAAATCATATCTGAGAAGATAGCCATCATGCAGCGTTGAAAAGTAGCAGGAGTACTGCATAAACCAAACGGCATCCTACGGTATGCAAAGGTACCGTAGAGGCAAGTGAAAGTTGTCTTCTCCTGATCGTCAGGTGCTACCGAAATCTGATTATACCTAGAATATCCATCCAGAAAACAATAATGTGAATGCCCTGCTAGTCTCTCTAGCATCTGGTCAATGAACGGTAGTGGGAAGTGATCCTTTCGAGTAGCAGCGTTTAGTTTGCAGTAATCAATGCAAACTCTCCATCCAGTCACAGTCCGTGTAGGAATCAACTCATTTTTCTCGTTTTCTATCACTGTGATACCCCCTTTCTTGGGAACAATTTGTACTGCACTGATCCAAGCACTATCAGATATTGGATAGATGATGCCTGCGTCGAGCAACTTCAATACCTCAGCCCTAACCACTTCCTTCATGTGTGGATTCAATCTCCGCTGACCATCAATGCTTGGTTTGAATTTTTCCTCCATGAGTATTTTGTGCATGCATAGCGACGGACTGATCCCCTTGGTATCTGCAATCGACCATCCAATGGCTGTTTTGTTTTCCCTTAGCACCCGAAGTAGTTTCTCTTCCTCCACCTCACTGACAGTACTTGAAATAATAACCGGAAGTATAGAAGATTTTCCCAGGTAAGCATATCTCAGGTGTGGTGGCAGTTGCTTGAATTCCAATTTGGGAGGTTGCTAAATAGATGGCACTGACTGTGTAGTCCTGGTTCCCAATTCTTCGAAGTAGCGTCTGTGCATGTATGGCGGATTAGTTACCAAAAATCGTGCACATGTTTCAATCTCACTTGAATCAGTGTGAGTGGATTGAGAATGTGCAATGCACGCCTCGTAAGTATCGGAAGGATGATGTAGCCGAAATGTATCTTGAATTATTCTGTCAATTACATCGATCTGGAAATGGCTGTCTGACTCAGTCGGGAACTTCATTGCCTTGAACACGTTGAACGAGATTTGCTCTTCGCCAAGCCTCAATATAAGTTTCCCTTTCTGAACATCAACAATCGCTCTTCCAGTAGCTAGGAAAGGTCACCCCAATATAAGTGGAACATCCTTATCTTCCTCCATATCCAAGATAAGGAAATCAGCTGGAAATATGAACTTCTCCACTTTAACCAATACGTCTTCAATGATCCCTCTTGGATGTATAAGGGATCTATCTGTTAACTGTAACGTAACCATTGTGGCCTTAGATTCTCCCAAGCCGAGTTTCCTGAAAATAGAGAGGGGCATTAAATTAATACTTGCACCTAAATCACACAATACTTTATCAAAATGACAATTTCCAATAGTGCAAGGTACAGTAAAACTCCCTGGATCCTTTAGTATTGGAGGCAACTTTCTCTGGATTCTGGCACTGCACTCCTCAGTTAGCATCACTGTTTCATGTTCTTCTATCTTTCACTTGTTGGAGAGGATATCCTTCAGGAATTTTGCATAACTTGGCATCTGAACAAGTGCTTCGGCAAATGGAATATTGATATGTAGTTTCTTAAAGACTTCAAGAAATTTACTGTATTGCCGATCCAATCTGTGCTTTTTAATCTCTGCGGAAACAGAATAGGAGGCTCATGAGGGTTGATAGGAATGGCATCCCATGATGTACTGGAATTCTCCTTGCCCACATTCCCTATTGTTTGTTCAGTTTGTTCCACAATTTCGTCATCCGAGGTTGGTTCTGATTCCTTGCTAGTTACCGATCTTTTGACATGTATCTCCGATAGTTGTACTCCACTTCTAGTTGTTATAGCCTTTGCGTGCTCCTTAGGGTTGATTTCAGTGTTGCTGGGCAAATTCCTGGTGCTCTACCCGTAATGGAGATTGCCATCTGTCCCATTTGTGTCTCCAAATTTTTGATTGCTGCACTCTGGTCTTGAAGAGTTGCATTTGTCTTTCGCATAAACTGATTGTTGGCTTCCATATACTGGTTGGTTGTTACCATAAACTTTTCAAACATCTCTTCCAATGGTGAGTTTTTATCCTGCTACTAATATTGGCCTTGTGGTCTATTTTGATTCTGATTGCTCCACGAGAAGTTTGGATGTTTTCTCCATATTGAAGGTTTCTGAATGTGGGTTGTTTTGTTAGCGTTTACCCCATTGCACAAAATCTGCATGTTCGACCCCTTGTGCGAGAATTGGACAATTAACAGTATTGTGGTCTGCTCCACATTCTTCAAAACTCGGCTTCTTGACTTGTTTAGCAGTGATGGTCTGTAAAATGCTCTCAACCTTGTGGAACAAAGAGTCTATCTTTGCAGATAGTGCAGAATAAGTATCTACTTCATAAACCCCTGGCGATCTCTTCTGAACCACTCGATCTGTAGACCACATGGCTGAAGTTGTTGCCATTCTCTCAAATAGCTCCCATGCTCTATCAATTGTTCTCGTGGAGATAGACCCGTCAGATGAGGAATCAACCATGCCCTTGAAGGATGGAAGTAATCCAGTGTAGAAAAATTGGATCTGTGTCTTCTTATCAAAACCATGTTGCGGGCAATTCCTTAACATATTCTTGAAGCGATTCCATGCCTCTTCAAATGATTCGGACTCACCTTGGTTGAAAATAGAGATATCATGCCGCATTTTTGCTACCTTTGCTAGCGAGAAGAACTTGGTGCAGAATTTGTGGGCTAGCTCATTCCAAGTGGTGATGCTTGCAACGGGGAGCGAATCCAGTCATTCAAGTGCCTTATCCCGCAAGGTGTGTGAAAAAAATCCGAGTCTTATAGCATCGTCCGAGATACCCTGACACCTGAAGTGTTGGCACATATCCAGAAATCGGGATATGTGTGTATGTAGGTTTTCGCTAGCCATCTCGTAGTATTGATGCCCATTCTGAAACAGTTGAATCATATTTGTTTTCAGCTGGAAGTTCGGTTGCCCAAATGGAGGATACACAATGCTAGATTGACTTTGGACCACCAACGGAGCCATGAAGTCCCCAAGTACTGTATTCCCATCATCTTCAACTGCCATGCCTTCGTTGAGTGGAATTGCCGGTCAATTTTGCTCGTTAGCCATTTGTTGTGCCGCTCTTGCTTCTCTTTGCCTATGACGGAATGTGCGTTCGATCTCTGGATCTATGGGAACCAAATCTTGATCAGGTGCTCCTTGCATACAATCCTTGAGATTGCAAAATCAATACAAAATTAAATTGAAGTATTAATAAACTAAACCTAGTAAACGAACTACTACTAATCTAGCTAAGTTCGAATTAGTGTCACAAAAGATAAAATTAGAACTAAATTTCAATTCCCGACAACGGCGCCAAAAACTTGTTCGTGAAATTATTTGTTTCGATTCAAAACCCACCGCAAGTGTACGATTCATTAACAAGTAGTAAAATGGACTATAAGTCCAAGTATCGATCCCACAAGGATTGAATTAGTTCGAATTAATCTAATATGACCTTAACCGAAACACGACAAGCAAATTTCATTTTTATACTTTAACTAACAAAATGTAATCGTTGATGCAATTATTGACTAAGGATTATACTAAGTTCAAAGTAACTTGGATGCAATTTAACTAAAATTTTATAGAATTAATGGATGTTCTAACTCATTAGGATCACGAATCCCCAAGCAATATTCTCTTCATTCTTTTCATTTCATCACCCCACGATATCGTCAATTTGGTAATTGGCCT